TGGGTGTGGGTGGGTATGGGTGTGGATGTGGGTGGTTATGGATGTGATTGTGCGTGGGATGTGGGTGTGGATGTGAGCGTGGGTGTGAGTGTGGGTTGGATGTGGATGCGGATGTGGGTGGTTGTGGGTGTGGGTCTGTAGCCACTCGATTGACACTCAGCCCTACACCGATACCAGCACCCACACTCACGCCCCACACCCACACACCCACGCCCACACCCACACCCGTAATGCCAAAAGCCAATATCTTCTCGCATATGTGGAAGGGACATCTGAGGCTTGGTTCAACCAGGATTATGGTATTGGATGGTATAATATTGCTTGTGAAATGCTAATAGTTTGTTGATGCTATGCAACAGTGGTAAAAAATCGAGTAAACTAATGTTATAGTGCGTAATTTTTTTGCCTTCGGTTTATGCTATTTTGCATCCTTTGCGCTGTTCGAACGATGAGTAATAGAACAAGGAAAATGACGATAGTATTTTTATGGGGAAAAAACTTGGTATCTAATTAAAATATCTTGATGAATGATAGAACAAGCAAAACGAGAATAATATTTTCATGAGATAAAAATCATGCATCTCATTAATATACCTTAATAAATGATCGAACAAGCAAAAAGACGATAGTACTTGTATGAAATAAACAACGTATTTCAAACATATTTGATAATTATTATTTTACGGACACGAATGACGGCACACAAGTCAAACTTATATTAGTGATGTACATAAAAACAACGTCTTGTTTTTATCTCTAGTATAGAACAGCGTCGATATATCACTGTTATTCTGGTCGTCAGCATACAAGACTTCGTAAAATACAAAAAGCAAACGTAAGTGTTTTGGAATTACATTTTATTCAGAGAGCGTTTTTTTATCATCAATATTCAGTGAATTTTTCTATTCTTAAATAGTATCACTAAGCTTATATTATTTTTTTTTCGTATCATAGTAATTTTTCTGTCAGCAAAAATGTTTCAAAATTCTGTATGAAAAGAATAACAAATATTAACTACTGTAAAGCCATGCTTATCACAAAACGTATGTAGTAGGAGGTGTTAATCAACTTTGTGAGATCCCACGTAGAAAAAAGACCGTTCAATATTATGTAGTTTTACCATTTAAAGAAGTTTGACCTCGCTGAAAATTAGATATGATACTGTACAAATAAAAAGTGTTTCAGGAAATTTTCGTAGAGGAATTTCTCTGCAACTGAGTTTTTGGCGAAGAATTTGCTTGAGATATTGTCAATAGAGCGAATAGCTCTAATTAGATTAGAAAAATCGTATTTCTCCTAAAACGACTCTGTAGTTAAGATTATCCAGAAAATTTTCAAGTCATAATAACGGATTGGGATAAGGGGTTCATTTGGTGTTTGTATTATCCAATACCTCCATGATGAAGATAAAAATTATAAAAGATTTTTCAGAAAAAGATAATGAGCGCACAGTTCTGGAAAAAGTGTGATTTCATTGAAATCCTCTAGCTCTAAAACTTTGATGTATATTTTTCTGTCACGGCGAACAATCATAAGTGTAAAACAGTTCAATTTTCCTGTAGTTCCATAGCACAACCATAGTACTAAAAAATAATGGTGTCTTACCATGAATGACTCCCTAGCCTTTTGCTTGATATCTCTGTGGGTTTTTATGATGTCAAAACCATAGAGACCAATTACATAAACGCTTTCGTTGAGCTTTGAAAGCTATACTCTGTAAGCACACACCGGAACTCTTCCATGAAAAGCCCATAGAGTTAAATAAATGTTAGCTTTCATGAATTTTCGAAAAGTCCCAGGCTTCACCGTATTTTTCCAGTGTTTGGAAAAATGCGTACAACTTATCGTAGTATTTTTATTTGGGGCAAGTTTTTGATTTGTACTAATGCCAATAAACAATTCTACAATACAAGGCTAGAAGCATTCTGAAACGGTTCTACTTCGAATAGTTTAAGTGTTAATAGTAAGGGAAAGCATGCAAGATAATAACTAGTTTTCCTGAAAAATAAGTTTTCTACGTCGAACTTTTTACATGCGCTATAGTATCAGCCCAAAATACAAGTGAGTGCCAGTGAAAACAGTTCGAAAGTGGTTGCTGATAGACTTTTGCAGTATTACTATGGTGAGTTTTTCCTTTTATATCTGCGTTGACCATTTCTGTAGAACTTAGTAGAGAATACAATGTTAAAAGTTTTTGGAGAAAATCCGTTTCGACACAATGAAAGCTGACAGATATATGTGTAGGAATCGTATGTGAGTCATAACGAATTCCAGCCTAAGGAAATATATAGATGGGCAGAATGAAGAACAAGAGTTTCTGCTTGAAACTCGAACCGCACATGTTTTGTGATCGGAGCAGATATCCTAAACTAATTACACTAGATGGGACATTTTAGTCTACGTTTAACGTCGGAATATACCCCTTTGACGCCAACAGTATGAAGAAAGCAACGATAGCTGATTTACCCTGGTTCACATATTTACTTGAGAATATATGTAAAAAAACAAACAGGCCAAGAAATCTTCAGAGCGAGTATTATTATTAAACTTTTTTAACTTCTAAGATTGTCGTAGGTATTGTTGGGCCATAAAGAGGAGTTACAAGCACTCAGTAATTTTATTATTGCATCACTTGAAAGCAGTCTCCTCACTCTAGGAAACAATATAAGAATGTGACTGAAAGAGCATGAATCGATAGGTCATCACAGAGGACACTCATTCAATATTTCTTAAATTCGTATTGTTCACAAAGTTTGTCTGTTATTTGCAATCACTTTTATACTCACCAAGTTAGTTTCTACGTTAATAGAAAGTTTTCTGCCAATGATAGAAGAAAACTTGAATATATGTGTGTTGAAGCAGAATAGGATGATAGAGATGTTCGAGTTCTCCGTTCCTTAGGGTTCCGTTTCTTGGGAATGGAACCTACTCGAAGGTTCGTTTCCGAACATTTCTGATTATATTGAAACATATGGACGTGCTTATTTGCTCAATCTGTGTTAAGTCAGTATTCGTCCCAGGTTCCGAGTTCCTGAGAATGCAACCTGCATCGGGTTTCGGGTTTTCGGGAATGAAACTCAACCCGGTTTCTGAGTTCTCGAAACGAAACCAAAAACTGACACCCGTCTACGGTGATCAATCTCAGCAAGAAAAATAGTATGTTTTCCATTATCCAATGTTGCTGTTAACAACCTCAGGAAAAGAATCCTTGAAATCAAAAAATCGCTTCCATCCATTGCTATACCCATCAAAGAGGCAGAGGGCATTGTTGTCTTTTGAATGTACCATGTTTCATGTGATAGAAGTCAATGGTGACCTGATACAACGCTATGATCTCAAAATCGCTTTTGAAGCCAATACCAGCATTACTAGTTTAGAACCCTTTGTAGCGAGCATTCTGTGATTTGATGACACATTGTCGTTTCCACGAAAGTTTAACAGGTGGAAACACCTAGCATGTTTGGATATTGTTTCCACAGTAACATGCCATAACATACTTGCTTTCGAAGAGTCGTGCTTGAGAACAGAGATGGAACCAACACTGATGCTGATTTCAGGTCCGTTGGTCTATTGGTAGTCCAATATTTACGAGTCATAGGAGTATTTACCGGTCAGACTACACTGTAAAAAAAAGAGTGGCATAATAAACCTTTAAAAGGCTGATGAAATTGCAAAATAGAATAAACCTTCTAAGGATTACAAAAATTCGATACCCTTGCATAAATCGATTTAGAAGGGTTTTTGAAAATTTCACATACACTAAAAAGCGTTCATTAAACATTGTAGTTCCATAAGTTCT